GAACTCGTAACTTTTCAAATTCTATTTCAACCTGTCCTATATTCTAACAGAACACATAACGTCTCAAATTCTATTTCAACCTGTCCTATATTCTAACAGAACTCGTAACTTTTCAAATTCTATTTCAACCTGTCCAATATTCTAACAGAACTCGTAACTTTTCAAATTCTATTTCAACCTGTCCTTTATTGTAACAGAACTCGTAACTTTTCAAATGCTATTTCAACCTGTCCTATATTCTAACAGAACTCGCAACTTTTCAAATTCTATTTCAACCTGTCCTGTATTCTAACAGAACTCGTAACTTTTCAAATTCTATTTCAACCTGTCCTATATTCTAACAGAACTCGTAACGTCTCAAATTCTATTTCAACCTGTCCTATATTCTAACAGAACTCGTAACTTTTCAAATTCTATTTCAACCTGTCCTATATTCTAACAGAACTCGTAACTTTTCAAATTCTATTTCAACCTGTCCTTTATTGTAACAGAACTCGTAACTTTTCAAATGCTATTTCAACCTGTCCTATATTCTAACAGAACTCGTAACTTTTCAAATTCTATTTCAACCTGTCCTATATTCTAACAGAACTCGTAACTTTTCAAATTCTATTGCAACCTGTCCTATATTCTAACAGAACTCGTAACGCCTCAAATTCTATTTCAACCTGTCCTATATTCTAACAGAACTCGTAACTTTTCAAATTCTATTTCAACCTGTCCTATATTCTAACAGAACTCATAACGTCTCAAATTCTATTTCAACCTGTCCTATATTTTAACAGAACTCGTAACTTTTCAAATTCTATTTCAACCTGTCCTATATTCTAACAGAACTCGTAACGTCTCAAATTCTATTTCAACCTGTCCTATATTCTAACAGAACTCGTAACTTTTCAAATTCTATTTCAACCTGTCCTGTATTCTAACAGAACTCGTAACGTCTCAAATTCATTCAATATTACAACATTTCTTTTAAACATTAAACAATTCTGTAATGTTGGCATTATCACACATTCCTCTAAATTCAATAGTTTTATTCTTTTGTATGAAATTTAGTAATTTATGATATTGGCTGCAAACTTGCGTGCCATATTTAACTTCCGGTTGGTCAGATGGTGCTGTTGGTAGATTGAAATGCATTCTAATATACCATGTCAACATTCTGTTTGCAAAGAGACCTCGATGGGTTACCAATGGTGATTATTTTTTTTTAAACTGACTGATATTGATAGAGATACTCCCACAGTTAATCAAGTTCAGAGTCCCAAATATCCAAAACCCTCACTGACCAAGCGACCCCCTGTGATTTTTATTTCGACAGAAATTTGGTTTCCAATAAAAAACCCTTGATTTAATCATATATATATAAGAAGGAGAAATGTCATGATATCTCAATCATTTCTAAAAATTAGGTTACCTTTTCTAATGGGCGGTTGTTTTTAGATGCCTCAGTGAAAATGGTGGCTCCAACCTTTGTTAACCCAGCGACCCCATGTGACCAATTCATCTCTTCCAACCAACTGGGTTACTACAAGGACTGTCAAATCTATAGAATTTCCATTTATAATAACTTCAGACAACATTATCAAAATTGCCCATCAAATATGCCGAAGAATTAAGTAGAAATTTGACTTTTGACTGATATGTCCGCCAATCCAATTTGCTGAAAATAATTTCCAAGGGAGGGAATTGACAATGTCGTTAGATAGTGGAAGATGGGTGAGGGTGATAAACCGTGATGAATTTACAATGATCCGGGGTCGTCTGTCAAACGTTTGATAAAATCTACTGAAGTCTGATATTCTATCAACTCTGATCGAATTCAGATCTATGATGCTTGTTTCTCGTTTTTTTTTCGCGCCAAACAACTTCACAATATCAGCTTCATTTCTGCCTTTAGCCGTCTGCCAGTAGATCGACTACCACAGGGACTGGTTGAACCAAGTCCACGGGCCCCCACCCCCAGAAAAAAAATAAAAAGAATGCATGAGAGCATAATAAAATAAAAAAAAGGTTTTCAGGGGAGGTGCCTCATCCCACTGAAGTCCACAACCTCCAGTTATCATCTTGAGCCACTCCAGTAAAAGGTCTTAAATGGACCATCCACGATCAAATACAGATTTACAGTGATCTGGGATTATTGAGATGTTCCTAGATAGACCCTGTCTCATATTAGTACGTGTATTCACTCGACTTGGATACCATTGATAGAGGATAGTTTGAAATAAACGAAAATTTCCATTGATTCAAAACTGCATTGAAATAAATGGTAATGATTAGCCCATAATGGAAATTAGAACATCATCTTAATTCTGTGGATATTCTCTTCTAATGACAGATTTGTAACTTGTTATTTTCGTTTGAAAAATGTCGACTATTTTCATTATCCAATTTAAAAAGTTTTAAGAGAAAGCTGATGTCTAGTGTGAGACATTATTGAATTCAGTCTCGTGTCGTTTAGGTGATGAACGAGCTAGTTATACCATTCGTTTGAAGCTTTCTTGATTGGAGTTTTCTACTGTAACCGAGTGTGACGAATGATGTATGAAATTGTCGCGAGGGGGCACCGCGATCTGTCATCTTCTGCTTAATGGTGGGGATGAAAAACTGTCACATTTGTCAGGAAAGTTTGACAGAAATTTGTGAGAATCAATTCTCGTGTAGCATTTTGATGGATGGGCTTTATCTCGAGCTGAAATTAGAGTTATGCTGGTAGTAGACTGAGATATCCAGTCTTAATCTACAAATTAAAAAAGGAGTGGACCGTGAAAATGAAATCAAATAAACTTATCGGGTAAGACCATGAGGTGTAGTGTACAATGAAGTAAAATTTTGCAATTCTTATAATTATGCCCTCTGTAAGTAAAAATTTGAAAAGGTTCGCTGAGACCAGGCTTTATATCTCTCTTGTGTATCAACTTATTAATGATTGTCGTAATTGTATCCATGAATCCTAATTCAACATGTGTCAATGTACACATTTTATATTGGTATTGTGCTAACTGGTTTCAAACTCAAAATAAAGTCCATATTAGGACTTAAATGTTTGTCGGATATCGACGATATAACGATTGTCGTAATTAATTCAAAGGGAGATAATTCAAACCCGTGTTAATCGAGACTATACTGGTACCAGTAGACAAGAACAATGATTTGTCTGTTTAAATTTTAATTTCCTTCACCAGTTTCAATTGTTTGAGTTGATTAATGGCATGAAGACGACGACAGTAGACGTTTTAATATGTTCTTTGTGATGTCGTTTGCTTTATTGATTATTTATGTCTCGACCCTCATTTGTCGATTTTCTTTTTTTCCCCTTTTCCTGTTCCGCATCTGACTATTTTGAAATTGTCGTTATATTCAACTTGCCAAATGTTAAAAGAAAAGTTCACTAACTTTACTTATAATCGACAGTTCTGTATTGCAAAGTATCCTTCCCTTTTCGAAACTAACTGTTCCGGTGTTTAATCTGCCAGATATTTTATTAAGATACGATACGACTACCCTGGACTTTACTTTTCGAAATTTTGCTTATCGCTGACCGACATCACATATTGATGAAAGGGGGTCCTTCATTCCTGAGCTTATATACTCAACCCTATTTCCTAACTTTGTTTAATGTGCCAGTTTAAACCACCATACTTCCTAGTTGGCATATTCACTTAACTTGACTTTCGAAACTTGACCTTGACCTTGATAGGGGTAGGATTGAGGTATTGATGTTCCCCAAATCTCTTGCTTCACGGACATTTGTACTCAAACCTTACCTCCATCTTTCTTTAATCTCACAGTATAAATCAGATTCCATCAAGAAAAGCCATTAATTTAGAATTAAAATTAAATTTATTAAAGTAAATGATTTGATTCAGTTCTTACTAACATTCAATATGGTCATTTGTATTACATTCGAATCCTCTTGGGTTCACTTCTACTGACATTAACTCGAATATTGATGGCAACTGTCAGTGATTGTCGGCAGTTTTATGTGAGCAAACCGATTTCTTCCCATTACTCGAGAAACTTCCGACATGAATTCATCACAGTTATAATATATTATCTTGACAATAGTTGCAATATCCAGGCTGTTAGTTTTGATTTCTAAAGTTTATCTTTTACTCCCCCTGAACCCTTCCCCTATCTCACCTTCTTTGTTTTTTGAAATTGTTTAGGAAAGGGCTTTATCTAAGTTTATGTAACCTGTGCCTCATACTTTTGTTGAATGCAATAAAATATGTTTAGATGATCACCATCTTTCACTTTCTTCCGATACCCCAGGGAGCAGATTTTCCCAGCAACATAACCCCCTTGCCCCACCTTCTTACACTAACTCCAAATACCCTAAAACATCTCACCAGAAAGGAAGCAGATATTTTCAGACACCCCCCCCCCCCCCCTCTCCATTACCTCACTGTAGGTGCTATAGGTGCTATTCTAGAAAAACACCACAACCTCTAACATGGCCAAAAGTGTAGACGACAAAAAGGAGTAGGAATAATCTAAGTACCTCACTCTCTGAACGGTGTGATTTATGTCAGTACTTGAGGCACAGCAACAACAAAATTCGTAAAAATCAGAAATTTTTATTAAAACATCAATAAATATAAAAACCAAATATGGCTATCAGCACTTAAAAACAAAGCTTACTGATCATTAAACTTAATGGATTTCAATACTCGATAGAGACAAATTTCTACAACGTTTTAAATAAATATCAGAATTTTGGTCTTTAATTGATTCACAAGAAAACAGTTTTAATCTACCACATGATCATGACGATAATGCACCGATAAAAAGCACCAAAACGGGAAACAGTTGCAGCTAGAACAGTTAATAAAGTATTTTCTCAACCTTTGCCCATTTCCGTATGACGAAAACACATACAAGTGTGGTCTCCGGTTAGACATACGATTGTTCCCTGGCAATGAAAATGATACTGAAACACGGACTGCAAGTAACGAGAGCAACGGAAGAATAGAAACGTGTTGTTTTTAATATGTTCACGGCACAGAACCAAGTCTCTGAGCATACAAGGAATATGGATAATAAGCTCCTAAGGGTGAAAGATGGGACACCGAGGCACTCGACCCTACCCCTCCCAAAGCAGATTTGTAAGGGTGAAATCTACTTGATGACAATAGTCCAGGACTGAGGCTGGTGGGGTAGGCACGCCTCAGAGAGTCTGGGCTGATTGGCGCAGAACTGAGACCAAGTGCAGCAGTTGGTGGTAGACCAAATCCATAACCTGCTGACAATCCTGAATCTATACTCGAAGTATGGCTCCTTAAATGTTGCATAAGTTCCTCGGAAGAGTTGAATCTTTTACCACAATAATCGTGTCCAGCAACCCAATTACAAATATAAGGTAGTCCTTGATGAGCGGAAGGAAGAGCACTATGAGAATAAAGGGAATGTAAAGAGGATAGAGATTGTAGTCCAGAAGCACTAGATGATAAAGATGCTAGGTGTGGGTAAAGCGACAAGGGACTAGTTGGTAGTCCAATCGAGCCGCTACTGAACTCGAGCAAAGTCTTTTCGTGAGCACATTGAGAACATCCGGGTGTTTTACACGTTGTAGACGTGTGAGAGGTGCGCATGGTCAGTTGACAGTTGGTACAATAAGGATCCTTACACACTGGTACCAGAGTTGTGGCCCCCGATGGCGTTCGAACACGAGTGAAGCTCACATAAGGATTCATTGAAGCTGCAGCATTGGCTTTTAGAGCTGCATGTTGGGCCGATCCATAAAGTCCTGATTGAGCTAGTAGTTGCGATTGATGATAAGCTGCAGCTAATTCCGGGTTGATTCCGTGTCCGAGCATGGATAATCCAGGATATCCCAATGTAGAAGAAGGTATTCCACTGTACAATGGATGACTAGTTGGTTTGATCCCTGAACTATGTGATAAACTGTGTGGACTGTGGTGAGAAGACTTTGATTGAACGGGACTACTAGATGGTGATGACGTATCAGTAGATTTTGGGGTCTTGGTTACCGAACCGGAAGTGGACACATCTTTTCCAATGTCTTTTGATTTATGAGTATTATCCGAACTACTTTTGGAATCCTCTTTAGTGTGAACGGTTCGAAATCCCGGCTTCTCCTTCTCTGTTTTCTCATCTTTAGTTTCAGCTGATGATGATCTTTTTTCGGGGTTGTGTGCCACCTTAGGGGTCTGCTCGGTGTCCTTCTTCTCCGAGGCTTGAAGGATGGGTTTGGCCGGTGGACTGTCTTTACCAATACTGTTACAGGTCTTGGCTAGTAGAGCTAGAGGACTGGATTTAGCATCAGTCTGAAATGGACAAATGATAGACAACATTAAATCAAGCAAAACGCAAAGGAGACACACCCATAAAACAAAACATTAGTACATAGGCCACATGTATTACAGGCATTTCTACGTGGGTGAAGGACATTTCACTTTTACTCCACTTTCAAATTTTTTATCATTTTACATAGTGAAAGGATGGCCTGTGATCCACTTGAAAAATGTTGTGGCCCTTGCTCGGCCCCCTCATCTAAACGCCACTGGTAGGTTTCCTAAATTGCACATGACGTTGTCTGCAAGCAAAATCCGGAGAAAAAACGTAGGACGTAACATGCCCTTAGCCCAAATCGGTAGCAGAAAAGTGGGGCGTAAAACTCCATTTCCGAGACAAGTGATGTGGTTATCGAGTATGAAATAAAATTAGTTTTACCCCATTGAGTACAGTTAACACAATAATTCTGACATGTTTTATTAACTCTGATGACAGTTTATTATAACTGGTCTCAATTGATTTTCTCCGTATTAATTTCTTGATTGACAAATACTATCATCTATTTTAAAATCATTTCGACATTTCACTCCTGATGAGTGAGTTTCGAGAGTTGAGTGTAAGTACTTTCAAGAGGTCGAAGTTTGAAAAGACAAGAAAAGAACATATCTATATTGATACTTTATAAAAAAGGGACGAGGGGGGGAGGG